CATCTTTCGAATTCGGTCCAAGTTCTAGGTTGAGCAGCCCTATATATAGCCTATCCCATATGTACGGAGAACGGGATCCCAGGTTCAGATTTCTCGGTCCCTCTCTGGGGCTGAAAACTGTCCAACAAAAAACAGTCATGTCATGTCTTCAGGTCCACTTCTTCACGTTCCAAACACCCAGCAACGGCCCAAGTGCGTCATCCCAACTAGCAATGGCCTCCAACCCTCTTAGTAGCGGCCTCCACTTCGACCCGAAGGTCTTTTCTAGGTGGCGTCCTCCACTCCCACCGCACCGCACCTTCCAGGCTTTCACCTCGAAGCCTTCCAAGGTCACCGCGATCTCCTCCGTCGCGGACGTCGCCGCCCTCGCGGCGCCCGGCGCCGCCGTCTCCGTCCGTCCGCAGGGGCCCAGCTGGAGCGGCTGGAGCTCCCAGGTGCTCCGCACGAGGCGCGCGGGAAGCTCCAGGATCTGACCTGACGGCGGGGTGGGCAAAGGACGGGAGGAGAGCGGAGAGGACGCGGCGGAGGGGAATTGATTGTTTTTTTAAGAACAGCCACTATAGACAACTATAGACAACATAGATGATCAGCTGATAAGCTTCACAGGGCAGTTGTCCCAGGTTCCCAGAAAGTATTTTCCAGGTGTTCTGTAAATGTTGATTCGGTGAACGTACAGCTTTGCCTGCCTTTCGAGTTGGTGATCCAGATCTTGTTGCTTCAAAACCACTGCACTGGCGGTGGTTGAATTACCACTTTGAAGTCTGGCAAAGCTCCATTTTGAAGAGTAAACAAGCAGTCTCCCTACAAGTTAATGAGCGGTCAGTCAATCTCTAGGTGAAACGTGTAGAAACATCATGAAACGTCTAGACATGTAGGCCCCCCTGTTTGAGGGGTGGTCCTGGTAGACACCCTATTAGACACCTCTTTTCGGGGCTATGATTGGACACGCCAAAAAACTGAACTTGGTAGATACCCATTCACCCCTTCCGGGGTCATTCTTGGATTTTGAACCCAGGGCCCTGGTAGAAACCATCTTCAGCTCCGGTGTTTCATCTTTCGGGCCCCCATGTTTCCTCTTAAACTCCCAAGATCATTACAAAAATGGATGACCTCATTTTGATCAGTAGAACAGTGGTTCTTTGGGAAAGCCTATTTACAGTAAATGAATGGGGGTTGGAATCCTAGCTTGGAGGCCATTGCTCTAGTAGGTTGGGAGGCCATTGCTCTATGGCTATTAGTTATTAGGTTGGAGGCCATTGCTCTATTAGCTTGGAGCTACTTGCTCTAGTAGCTTGGAGCCCATGGCTCCCGTGTCCCGGCCACGTTTGTTGCCCGGCCACCGAGGTTAAAGCTCCCGCGCTCGGTGGCTGCCGTGGGGTTCCGCAGCCACAGAAGGCCGTCCTGAGAGGACACCTGTGGCTCCGCTCGGGCCATGCTGGTCAATCCCATGGGATGTACCACGAGCGAAGGAGGGAGGGTCTTATGTCAATGTCAAACCAGTCAAACTCCCCTAGCTTAAATGGATTGTGACTGTCCCATCTTCTTAGCTATTAGCTGCCCAAAACCCAAGCAAGCGCGCCCCGCTTGGCGCTCTGGATACCCCATGTGGAACCCCCTTCAATCGCTGTCGCGCCCCTCGCACGCGCCGGCCCGCCTCCAAGGCGGCGCTTCCATAGAGAGGCCCCTCCCCCAGCGAGACCAGGTGCGCATCGCGCAGCACGTGCATCTGCGTCCGGGCGAAGGCGGAGATCTGCGCCAGGGCGGACCACTTCAGGTCGTCCATCCTCGGCGTGGTTCGGCGGCCGAACGGACGCCTCCGCAAAACTCCGCAATTGAAGAATGCTCAGACCAGCCCTGAACAAATATAACGTTGAGATGAACAACGATGAACAAAAATAAGCACCATTGAGATGAACTTAACAATAACGGATGCTGATGGATGTTGCTTGTGGGTGCAAGTGACCTGTGTCTGTGTGTTTTTAAGGCGAAATGGGAGATTCTCTCATGCCGTACATGAACGGATCGTCCACCATAGCAGGGGGTTCTTGGCCCAACGCGAAAGCACAGAAACACACAAATGCGGACCCAATCAATTCTTTCAGAGGAAAATTCCGGAATCGAATGGTCAGAGGAAAATCCGGGATCGAGCGAGTCGCAAGACACATCAAGTTTGGCCGAGTATCAGCTCCATTTGGATGTAAAGCTCTTGAAGCCCTGTGCCTGCCAGAAAGAAGGTGAGCACTTCATTGCAGAAGTCCTCAGAACGCAGTCGTCCTCACTTTCCCAGCAAAAACTACTCAGCCAAAGTCTCAAAGGCAACCCGTCCAACATGGTGGAGAAAAGAAGCAAGGACGCTACGAGGTTGGAGGCCATCGCTACTGGGGTGGATGCCATCGCTACTAGGGTGGAGGCCATCGCAAGTAGGTTGGAGTAGCTGCTGGAGCAGATTTGCAAGGGCTCTAAGAAGCTGGCCACCCTCTGACTATGAAGCGCCTTCACCAACTCAGGGTCATTCACCGATCTTCCCCTTGCAATACCTTCTTGCCAAAGCAAAGACCACTCAGGTAGTTAGTTGGTGTTACCTACACTCCACCTCCTCCCCCTCTTCACCAGCTGAGTGTCCACCAGTGGTCGCTCGGCTGGCCACATCTCACTGGTCTCCGCCGTCTTGCTCCTCGGATGAAGAAAGAAAGCTGTGCGCTGTGGACGGCTTGGATTTGCCTGGAACAGGATCTGGGACCGACTCAGAACCCACAGCCCATTTAAAGAACAAAGGTGATACAAGTGCTTTTTTGCATTTCTAATTAAATTCTATTTACTTATTGTTTCTACTAGCTCAGGAGCCCCTAGTAGCGTCCTTGCTCCTTTAAATAACATTATATAAATGTGATACATTTGAAGTCTTTCTGCCCATCACAATCTAATTATGTCCAGTTGGTAGGAATCCATAAAGGAATCCTACCCATCATAAAATACTGGGATTTGGTACCAATAATCTCGGTAGCTGCTCTAACTTAGACCTCTAAGCACCAGGTAATCATTGACCCAAACCAAAAAAATACATGCTTCCCACTTCCGACCCGATCTTCGGACCGCTCATCTGGAATTGGTGGCTTCAACTCGAAATGCCCAAAAGCCTGGTCGAAAGCGGCGCGTGGATCTGGTGTTCCCAAACCACTCCAAGATTCCACACCACTCCATGTTGCATGAACCCCGTGATCGGGAACAGCGGCCCCCGCGCATGCGCGCGCTGCAGCGCATGGTCGCGGAAGCTCAACCAGCGGTCGCGGGCGCTGCCGCGGCCCTCGAAGCCCACGTCGGGGCCGTCGCGCCAGATGGAGTCCCCCCAGAGCAACCTCGGCGAACTTGGATTTTGAGGCTCCTAGGACCAGGAAAAAAAACAGATATTCCATGATATTCCGTGATATTCCCCAGGTTTGGGGATTTCACCGGATCGCCTTAAGCGTTAAGCATACTTCCCTTGAAAGAGCTGGGAGAGGGATGGTGGAGGCTCACCAGAAAAAAAAAAAGAAAAACACGTTTCTGGAGGGAGTAGTGGATGGTTGTTGCAAATTGATGATTGTAGTGGATGGTCGTCTAGTTTGCTGTCACCATCGTCGGAACATGACTGAACTGAACGACCGAAACAGTGCCCGGTGACCCGACCCAACTTCCCGCCGATGTTGGTTGTTCCATGTGCTTTCCGATGTCGTTCAACATGGGATGAGGCTCAACACAAAGTGAGAAACCCCAAGACTTCACCGGTTTGGATGTCCTGTTCCGAACATGTGTTCACCACGCGGGTATCTGCAAAAAGTACCTTCTTGATGTTCGCCAAACAAGTTGTATTGGCCGGCATTTGCATCGAAATGGCATTCACCACGAAAAGGTATATGACCCCTCAGGGTAGATGTAGTCATGGGGGCTGGCAAGGGCATACCAGCTTCACTACCTTCAGGTTTGGCACGCCAACAGTGAGGGCACGAATCAACCGCAGTAGTGCTTGGTACCAGTTGTGGGGAAGCTGCTCTTCCATGGACACAAACACGTTCGACGTGGGAATCGGTAGGCATCGGTTGGGGCATCAGTAGGGCACTGCGGTGAGAAAGCTATTCAGTGGTTGGAAATTTGCAGGTCTTGCAAAACGTCTTGTATACTGCCGTAAGCAACTCAATCTCAAACTGAGAAGAGCAACATTACCAAGTGTTTTTCGCCAGCTACAACTCTAACGTGGCAGCGTGCTTCCTAATTAAGTGGTTGGTACATCGAAAGGGGCATCGGTAGACGGGTCGGCCATCGGTTCTGCAGGTTTGATGCAGCTGTCCAACATCCCAAGACCACCCTGTGACTACTTTAGTATGCACTCGATTTTGTCGGCTCATATGCTCCACGCCGCACAACGAAATCGCCGGGTGGCCAAAAGGGTGAAGGCCAGGTTCCAATGGTGAGGCTGATCCAGATCCTCGAGAAATCAGAAGTTGAACGACTCTCCCTGCTAACATGGAAGGGCAGTTCACCCCCCTGTTGGGTATGGTCTTCCCAAACCGTGGCCATCCTATCCCACTTCCACCATGAGGACGTTCCGACTGTTCCTTGCTCCGGTCGCAAACAGAGAAACCTTTCCGGTCCAGAAGGCTATCCGGGGTGGCCCGGGCCCCCTCTGTGTTCGTGACGTCGCAGGTCCGACGAACGAAGGGCTCTCGGAGTCCGGCTGCAGCGAAGCGTCTCTTTCCCACCCTCCTCTCCTCGCACGTCCTGTGCGACGCGAGCCGCGGAGAAGCGTGGAGAGCGTGGAGAGCTGAGCTCCCCATGTGTTTTTATGACGCGGACTTCACACGAAGAATGCTCATGCTCGGCGGCATATCATGATTTCTCTGGCTCCAAGCAACAGCATCCCACAGCTTCATCCGATCGCTTTCTGAACCAAACATCTTGAAAAGTCTCACAGAGAGAAAGATCTCACAAAAAGGTATGAAATTGACAGTAACTTCTCCACTTCTTCAGAAGGAAATCCCCTGAAACCGGTTTGCCTCCCGTTTTCTGCTTCCATCTCGCTCTGATGGGGCCTCGAGCAGGGAGAGCATGGCCTCAAAGTCGTTGCGATCCTCCTCGCCGCCGCTCTGGCCCAAGCCACCGCCTCAGCGGATTCTACCAGGTTCGGATCAAAAATAACGAACAAAAACATCCTGAGTGCTACTCCTGAACTGGTTTACAACCAGATTTGAATCTTCCAAGTTTTGGAAGTACCCCAAATTGGAACTTGATGGAACTTGCAGATTCTTTGAGGATTCTTGAAGATACCACCCCGCCTAAGCCGTCGAACTTGAAGATGCCAAAGCCTTCCTCGGCGAAACGGCACGAGGAAGAGAGGGTCGGAGGGAGCGGAGTCGGGAGTCGGGAGGTTCTGGTCTTCTGGACCGGGAGGCGGGAGGAAGGATAGGGAGTCATAGGGATTGATGGAGGTGTCTGGTTTTCTGGGCGCAAGGGAAGGAAGATGTAATATACATGTGCCCCACTAGCCTTCCAAGACGATTTTCAGCATGGGAACGAGCTGCTTTCGTGGTGTAAAATCCTTGGGAAAACAAGGGTTCTTCGGGATTAAATTCATGGTGGGACAGGAAGCCTATAGGGTATATGCTTGGCTGTCCAGCTCGCTTCGTACGAACTTCCTTCTAAACCAACTGGATCACGGCTCTAAGAGTGCGGGCCACTCCACTATGGCCCATGTGTGCTCAGGGCCGCTAGAAAAGAGAAAAGAACACCAAAGACCAGCCGAGTAGCCCGCCGTCTACCCCTTGCCAAAGCAAACATGGAAGATCATTTGCATGTGGAACCGTTCAGAAAGCATACCAAAAGAAGCATCCACCATGCGTAAGAGTCCTCTTGTATCCTCTTGGAATGGTTGCTTTCTGCTCTTCGTGCGACAAACACGTGCCTGCGATTTCTTGGAATTTCCAGGTGCGGAACGCAAGGGCGCCGCACGCGGCCACCTGGATGCCATCCTCTGCCCACGTCTTTCCAAGTTGCTCTTCCCAGTCGCATCTCCTCAACCCCTTTGGGCTCTTTCGCCCAGCCCTTTCAACGGAAAAAACACCCAAACATACCCAAACCCTACAAGTCCATGCTGACCCTGTAAAGCCTGGCCCTGAAAACCTCAGTTGGGTGATGTTTTAAGTGATCAACATTGATCGACTCCAGTAATTCACGAGGTCAACCTGGTCAACTCAGGTCAACTCAGGTGAAACACGCGCACCGGTGACGGGTTTTCACCAGGTCGCGGAGATCCGTTGCTTCACCTTCGCCTGAAAGTTCTGAAAGTACTTGGGCCCTGGCGCGGCGCGACGCGTTGACCTCGAAACGCGTTGCGGAAGGTTTGTTCACAAGCTGAGCGGATGATGTCTTTCAGAACGTTAAAAACCGGAAGCTTTGTAGGGAAGTTGTTTCATCCTGCATGTGTAAGTTCGCGAGACATCCCTGACCTGTGATTTGCACCCGGTAGATACTGGGAGAAAATACCTGTCCATGGCGCAGCAGTTCGTCCCACTCGGGTTCTGAAGCAGTAGAATTGACCCTTAAACGAGGCGTGGGAGCCAAGTTACTTCGTCTTGCATGTCTTAGGTCCTACAGGTCTTAGAAACACTACAAGTCTGTGAGAAACGCTACAGCCCAACACTCCAGCCACGCTGGCTGACGTTAAGCCGACCCCCACCGGGCGCCTGCCAGCGCGAAGCTCCCGCGCTTGCTGCGCTCGAAGCCCTTCGCCGCGCCGAAGCGCACGCGCCGGGCGCCGGCCGCGCCGTAGCCGCCGAAGGGAGACATCCAGACCTGGTGGAGTCGGTGGAGAAGGAGCCTCTTTGCAGTATCCCAGACACTCTCCACCCCAAAAGCGATGGCCTCCAACCTTAGCAACGGCCTCCGACCTAAATGCGATGGCCTCCAACCTATATTAGGATGGCCTCCAAGCTAGAAACGATCCATGGGACTGGAAAATGTTGGAAGATATGCCGCCCCATGGACCCCGGACTTTTCAACCAACGCAATGTAAGTATATAAATATGGTAGTCCCATTAGTCGTGTCGGGGTATGGATATGGATATCTTATGGATCTATATGGGATCTATGGATATCTAAGGACATTCTCTCTATTCTCTCTAAGAATATGTGATCTATGGATGTCTTATGGCTGTTATCTTGTCCAACCTTGGACTCAGGGATGTCATGGGAAGTTCTCCCATCTCCACTTTGGATCATAAACTCCGGTTGAGTTGACCAATTGTATGGAAAAAAGGACCCCCACAGGTCCTAACTCTCCTGGCTAGTCACCGTCTACTTCACACCTGGGCAGGTTGGACGGGTTGAACCCTTCGCCTTCACGGTGTCGTCGCCCCCCCCCGATCTGCGCAGCAAAGCGACGCCCAGTCGAGTGCCCATCTGCTTGGCGTGGCGCACCAGCGGCGCAAAGCCCTCAGGAAACCGGGCATCATCCACCTGGACGCGACGAGATTTCAGACGTGAAATGGAATGATTTGCTCCTAGTAGCTTCTTGTTACTACTAGCAAGGCACTTGTTACTAGTAGCGATGCACTTGTTACTACATGAATTGGATTGGGACGGGATGAGATATGAGCCAAAAAAGACTCGCCGCGGTACGTGGTACCCCGATGTACCCCGCCATCGGGCAACCCCGACGACCAAGGGCAGGAACCGATGATATCCCAAAGTAACAACACTATAGACTATAGTTCCTATAAATCCTCCATCCTTGCTACTATAGTTCCTTCATCCTACAAACAGTTCTCCACTTCCCTTGATTTACGAGTGGTAGTAGGTCTCAAAAAAGGAAGCTCCACCACCTGAGACCTACGACCACTCGTGGACCAAACAGTTTCCGGCCGCCTGACTCAACCGGTTGACCTCACCGGCCTCCCACAAGCTGTCGGGGTTGTCCCAGCCATCGTCCAAGAGGAAGGCGTCTAAGTGGTGCTCGGCAGTCCAATGGCTCAGGTTCCCATTGAAGACCTCCGCGGGTCGACAGGGATGAACAAAGCTTGGCGCCAAGCGGGCATTCGTCCATTGAACGTGGCAACAGTCAAGGATACCGGAAGATGTCCTTTTGGATCAAAAGAGGAGTCATGAGCAGTTCCTCTTAGATTCAGCCTCTAAAGTATTCCATGATTCTTCCAGAGAAAGTGTAGATTAGACTTCCCATGGTCTCGCCCAGGGAGTGTTCCATGATTCTTCCAGCCTCTAAAGTCTTCCAGGGAGTGTTCCACGATTCTTCCATTAGCAGTCCCTCTCAGTGTATCTCCTTTTCAACGCCTGCCTTCAGCCGATCAGCACAGTTCTTCTCGCCCATCTCGTGCGCAAAGCAGCGTCGATCGGCAGCGTCGCAGGACGGGGAGCGGAGGTCGTACCAGCTGTTGTAATGCAAGATCTGGCAGCTTGGTGTGGATCCAAATCCGGGGCGGAGCCCCTTTCACCAGCCAGGATACGGGTTGACCATATCAGGTAGTCACAGGAAAACCCGGTGCCATGACCTACAGCCAGATGAGAAAAGGTCGTTTCCGGAGGGCGACAAAAAGGAGCATGTTCCACTCCCAGAAGTGGATCTAACAGTTTGGGACCACAGACCACGTTGGTGGAAGAATCTTTCACTGATGAGCTAGGCCTAGGCCGTGGTCAGTTCCGCAGCGTTCGTCCTGACTGGGATATATTAATATAGAATAATATAGATATAGCTAGATGTTCTGGCCCAAGCAAGAAGGGATCCTTTTCAGCAGTTTTGGTCGGCTGGTCTGATCAGCAGCTGGTCCCACCAGAAAAGAAGAAAACCGGTCGCGGCGGTTGGGAAGCATGGCACCAACCCAAAAGCAGAGCCCCATTCCAAGACCTGCTGGAGGAAGTCACAGACCAGGGTCACAAAATGAGACAACAAACAACAAAGACACAACACCCTCATATCACGACACGCGACCACCACGATGACCAAAGATCGCCACAACACTTGACAATCAATACTTAGGACGAACACAACAAGAAACAAACACCACAGACATAATGCCGAAACGATTCATATAACATCCCAGCAATTTTGCAACACCCACTTGATGCGCCGTCCGCTCCTCCGAAGCCCCCAGCGCCATCCGCTCCTTCCACCCCCCTCACGCCTGCCCGAAGGGCCACCCACGTACCTCCTCCAGGTACTCCTGAGGCCGCCGCGCTTCCCACGGCGGAGCTTCGCGATCCGAAAAGAACAGATGTTTCTCATACACAATAATATACCTTATCGCAATGGCCTCCAACCTACTAGCGATGGCCTCCAACCTAAGCTTGGGAAGCCGGGAAAAAGTAGAAAGTATTCCCCAGGAACCTGGGCATTGACCCAGCTCGGGTAAAGGACAAAAATCACCCCTATGATCCCCAATTAACCAAAACCAGGTCATCCCATGTCATCTACCACAAATCACCTAGATCCGGATGGTGAATGTCGTAGCTTCAAGCTATTTTCTGAATGTCGTCACTGTTCCGCTGTTCCGCTCACCAAACAGCCGTACTACAGCCTCACATCGTACGTCTCATGACAAGGCCGTGTCCCATCCTGCTGATCGTTCCGTTCGCTCACAAAAGTGGGAGTCTCGCATTCCAAAAGAACGATACTACTACCTATACAGTAGCACTTCCAATGGGTGCCCCATGGAGGCCTTTTTTAAGTAGGATAGGGTAGTCTATTGGACACCCAAACACAGGATGACTACGTACCGACGGAACGTACAGTATACCAAGTCTCACTAAAGCTGCGCCGCACTTGCGAATGTGCTTCATCCTCAAACGTCCCCAGCGATGCCGTCACCTCAATGCCACCGTGAACCGCGTGGTTCGCGTGGGCGTTGCCAGCAACGCGCTCGGCCAGGCGTAAGGTGCACCTGGTGTTCCGGGCCGTGTCAAGCAATAGAAAGTGAAGGAACACAGCTGGTTAGGAAAAGGAAGAACATGCAGACATAGAGATCATTAATACTCCAAATACAAGGTGTTACACATCTATACACACCATGCATAGGATTGCATAGGTGGCATAGGTGTGTTTTTCTAGGTCATTATGTGTCTAAGCACGGTCTGTTCTTTCTTCTTCGACCGGCACCCCCCACCTGGCCAGTCGCCACACCTCTGGCTCTTCAGGGCTCAGGCGCCGCGCGGCACCGTCCACCTCGCAGCGCGCGCGGGGATGCTCCAGCGCGAACCAGAGCCCCGGCGCCGCTCCGCGCAGGGCACCTGGACGGAGCGATTCGAGCGAAAAAAACCATGGTGGAGCGGTTCGCTGGACAGTCACCAAAGACGGATTCGTTAAGGGCTAACTTTGATGCAATGGGATTAAGTTCACCAAAGAAGATTCATTCATATAGATTGATGTCACGTTTTTGTTAAGGGCTGACTGAAGTATCCTGAGACGAGTTAGCTACAAAAACCTTAGCTCGTCTGAAGTCCCAAGTGGTTAGCTACAAACCGTGACTCTGCACGATGCATTCCATGCCCGCCGTTGCAAAAGGACATCTCTTGGGTTTCTGTGACTCAATTCATACCCAATTCGAGAGTTTTCGGAACAAGGAAAAGGATTTTAAAGGGACTATATAAAGGATTGTAGCTTGGAAAATACCTAAAATGAAGTACCTCGTTGATCTCAACAAAGAACGGTTCACTGCCCTCTCTGACTGCCCACTCTCTCTCTCTCTCTCTCTCTCTCTGCTTGCCAGTGCCGCCTGGCCAGGCGGCGCGCGCGCCGTCCGCTGCGAAGTCGTCGCGACCGGTGGCGGTGAAGGAGCGAAGGCCGAAGAAGACACCAAAGTTCCAGGGGTCCAGATGGCCCTTCCTCGGGTGAAAAGGTGTGAGCACCTGGTTGGAGCATGGCACCTGGTTGAGGTTGGGGCGCCTTTTTGGGGGGGGGTATGAAAGTTTAGAGTTGGGGGGGGTCCTCTTGCACGGTCGTGGCCTTTTGTTGCTCTGTTAGAAGATAAAATAGAAGAAGGAAGTGAGTCTGACGGGGTCTGGGGTCCCAAATGCCTAGGCTTTGAGGGACCGGTCGGGCTGGGTTTCACGGAGCGTCCGGGTACACACGAATGTCACCGAGAGCGGGAGAGAGTTAGCTCCCCAGACATGACGTACTTGGCGGTGACGTACTCGGCTTTTTGGGTGTTCATTGGTTTGGCGGAAACTCAATTGGGAAATAAGCCGTTTGAGCTTCCGAAGAGATTTGCAGGTTTTGATTTACATGTTGTTCAAAGGCATGATGGTCTGTTGATGTCTGTTGTATATAGTTTGGCAATTTTTGAATTTCTGGTAAAGAATCGCGTTCTGACATGGAATGGTCGGTTTCCTCCAGAACTGGCTGTTGTAACGCCCTTGGATTCCCTTGAAATTGGGATTTTCTTGGGCATTCGACCACCTCTGGAACCGCCGTGGTGATCTTTTCAGTCCAGGCATCTGCATGGTGAGCCTCACCCAGCGACTGGGCTCCTCGGGCCACCCTTCCAGTTCCGCCTCCGCGTTGAAGTCGGAAGGCGCTGCACTCACGCCGTCGCGGACGCTGCTGCGACGCAAGGTCCATGTTTCATCGCCGGTGGATTTGCTCTCTAAGAGCCATTCCTGAGGGAGCAAGATCATCTGGGACGTCGACTGCCGTGAATCCTGAATGACAAAAAAAGCAAATACTTGGTCATTCTACCAGTTGGCTGATTTAAGTCGAACTTGACAAGGAAATGAGTCAAAGATTCTTGGAATGATCTTCTGCAAAAAAACATCAGCGCACACACGCACACCACTGAAGATTCGATCTCGGAAGGAGCATGTTTCGGTAAGATGCCAATAACTCGTTACCTGTATATAGCATGGCACGATTAGAGCAAACCTCAAAACCCTGGCAATGGTCCTGCGCAAGCAGCATGGTGAAGCATCTAGAACAATGATTTACCCAAACATAGTGAGTTCAAAGCTAAAACAAAACAGGTACACAGAAAGAGCAGTGCAATTGGAACTGTTCACTGTGAAAAAAAGAAGAGGAAGTCAAAGAACTCTTGAATACGGGCTGTGACACACACCCAATCTCTCCCAATCTGCACAAGTGCAAGTAGAATTGAACATATAAGAACTGCACTATGCCAACCTAATTAGACCATCGCCGAACCATCGCCGTACTGGAACCCATTCGGACGACTTGCAAGCAACCTGCCTGGCTATTGGGACGAAAACTTGATCCTGGCTATTGCGAGGTGACAGTGGAAGACTCATTTGGGTCGATGATTCAAGTTCACATACGTTCCTTCTACCAGAACATCCAGAAAGCAGTAGGTTGAAGGTCATCGCTACTTGCTTGGAAGACGGACCAAACCGGTCGGCGAACACGGGGGCCTACTAGCGATGGCCTCCGACCTGTGTTCCCAGGCCAACCCTGTTCCCTCCCTCCGAGCGGTACCTCGGTGCCTTCCACCTAATTCCGGTGCCCAACAAGCCGCCGCCAACGTTCCGGTGCCCAACGAGCCACATCAGCCATGGATTTGGCCCACCAGGTCCATGCCACAGAGGTGATCTTCCTGGGCGAAACGGCACCGTGGGGCGCGAAGCGCAGGGCAAAGCAGGGCACGTGGGCACGTGGAGATGCGCCGTGCCTGTGCGGCACCCTGCCCTGTGCCTTGCTTAGGGCTGGTGGAGATGAAAAAACAAGTGCTGAAAAAAACAAGTGCTGAAGCCCTGGAACGGGCAAGATTGGATGAGCACCTGAAAGGCGGCTAGATTGGATGGTGTCTTCTTGGAATGATTATTGCGTTTCGCGACGGCGAGGTTCCTCAGTTCACGGTATAACAGGTGGAACATGTTGAACTCGAATCGCGTGGCAAAAAGACAGGCAGAGTCCAGATCGATGTGGTTCCTCTTCCAAAAACTGGGAATCTTGCAACTAAATCCTCATTCCCTCAATGATCAACGGCTTCAAAGAACATCATCCCAAATCAACATGTATTTCAGGTGTCGGTGCATTTCAACGTGTCGACCGAGACATCAAAACAGACATCAAAACATCAAAACAAAAGTTCACACAAACAACATGTGAAAAAAAGACGAGGCTCTTGTCACATCCGAAGTCCAGCTGAATCCAAGCACTTGTCTTGCCCTTGGCCGCAAACCACTCCGTCTCCTCGGGTCGTTGGGCAAAGAGATGAAAACTGGTGAGGCATGCCTGGCGGCATGGCACCTGACACCGGTTCAGCCCCAAATCCTGGTGGCTTGAACATCCCCCAAAACGGACTCGGTTCATCTGATGCGTGGTCCACCGAGTCCACGGCAAGGGCGACCGGGAGCCACCCCCGCGGTCGCCGGAGCGCCGGAGGTCGGTTGGCCCGCCCCTATGGTCGTTTTCGAAGGACGACCACGCAGCGTCCAGCGGGGCGCGGGTTTGGGGTCGTCCACGCAGCGTGTGGGGTCACAAAAACGGTCTGCGTTGATGTTCCTTCATAAAGCTTCGCTGGCCCACAAAGAATACAGATTTCAAGAATGCTATAAGATACTGTATATAACCTGACGGACTGAAACATAGAAGGCTCCTGACCATGTTTAACGCGTCCACACATGCATGATATGTCTCAGGTTTTCTCCAAACTGGTCACTCCTAAGGAGCCCCTCGACTATGTTGGAATGGAGACATTGGAGACCCTGACGTCCTCCTTTGGAGCCCCAGTGAGTTGGAATGGCATGGCATGGCATGGAAAGCATCTTCTTGCTATGTTGGGATGGAGACATTGGAGACCCTCGACTTGGGAAAAAGCATCCTTCTCCACAGCGAGCCGACCTGCGGACTCTTCACCGGCCAGGGCTCGCTGTCATCATCCAGGAGCCTCACGTGTGTGACGTCCGGAGAGCGGCTCTCAGGAAGCCGGAAAAGAAATCGAAGAGATTCGCCAGGTGATGGGGATTTCACCAGACCCTACAGTTACAAGTCCAGTCTGAGCCAGTACAGCCTGGTCCTGACAAGCTCATTGAGTAGTGTGAACTTGTTTATGCTAACAGCTCTAAAACCGTACGTGCGTTTTTGCGTTTTTTGCTTCTTGGATGTTTTGTGCACTTTCCCAGAATATATATGTATGCGTCTATGTTGCATCTTGACGTTGCGTTTCACACATATAGGTTAACGTTGCACACTGGGTTGGATGCTACGTTGTGCTATATGCTGGTGACGTTGCACGGAGTGGGGGGGGCATGTTGACGTTCCTGTGACGTTGCGCACTGGGTTGGATGCTACGTTGTGCTATGCTGTTGACGTTGCACGGG